TTATTATTAACGTTTGTCACCTCTGCGTAGTTTCGATGTCCACGTTCATTTATCTCGTGATTTGTAGCCACATGCTTCCATGTTTTTCTTTTTGATCAGCGTTCCATATTAAATCGGTGATATAAGCAATTTAAGCACGTAGTTGAAATGTAGCAGTAAATTTTCGTTACATCTGAAGAATCGAATTTACGATGCTTATTAGGAACTGCTGATGTATATCTTTTGCATTAAATGCGTTCCATGGCTGGGGTTCCGTTTGCGTTTCTGATGCGTAACGTTTCTTCTGTAGAAGGTTGTAATGTTGCATTTTGCTCTGCAACACTTATTTTCGCATAATAAACGATGTAGCGGTGGCCATTCAGGAAAATTTGCGACCGTTTACTGCCTGAGCAGCAGGATATTCTGGAAACGGTTGCAGGTGACTTGCTTGGATATCAGAGTGACCTCTCCTTCGGTTTGCAAATAGATGCTGTGACAATGCCTGACAATATGGGAATACCTATTTTTTGCTAAGTCTGATATGATCGTTTTACAGTAGCACGTGAGCCAGAGTTAGCTTTAGAAACCGCCTTTGTGATCAGTACTCTACAATATCGGGCGAGTCAGCATCCTCGCACATCCATGCTGCTTTTGGCTATTGTCTGCATTCTGCAGCATGCGACACGCAGTGCCCGAATATCAGTGACGTTCGTAGATTTGGACTAAACTAATGAAATTTTTCTTTTTTCTGCCTGATTCAAAACAGCAAATATCAGTATTGTTTTCAAACCAATTTATTTCTTTCTGCTAATCTTGATGAACTAATGACTAATGAAAATTATCTGCCAAATAAAAGGAGGGATTTTGATCATTGTTTATTATTTTAAATGGACAGCTTGTAGCTGGCTGCAGTATTAAGGTGTATGCTTCATTTTTATTGACAGAATCTTTGCTGATACGCTCTGCTTCATTGTAAAAATGAACTGTTCATTGAACGTTCGGTGTGTACGTCTGCGTTGTTGGAACAGTAAGTTCAATTTGTTTTATTTGACTTATTTCTTCTTTCATGAGATATTGCTTTTAGTTTACCTGAAGTAAAACAAAACATGTTTAGGGATAAGTGGCATTGGAACGTCTCTTCTGCTGCCTCCTGCTTCTACTTCGCTGAGCGGCTCAGTGCAGTGCGACGCAAAGTCTAACGTGAGTTCAGTGATTCCACTTAGCGTTCAGACGACCAGCGTTCCGGTACAGATTCCGGTAGTGAGTCCAAGCGGCCAAGCAACGATGCAGACCGTGCAGATACCGTGGCAACAGCTGATTAGCCTCGGCGGTCCAACCATGCTGACGCCAACGTCAACGTCCGTAACGTCGTCGATCGCCGGAACTTGTTCACTGCAGCAACAGCAGTCTAGCAATCTTTTCGTTATGAATAAGGCGGAAACGACAGAACGAGACAAGGACAATGACAATATGAGTAAGATGTTACCTCAGACGCTGATTCTGAAACCTAGCACTACAGCCACTGGTTTGGGTGCAAGTACCAAGCAACCGGTGCTGCTGCCGAAAATTCAGAACAGCTCGTCGTTTTTCATGTCTAACGGCACCGTGTCGTCTTGTTCAAAGGCGACGGCCACGGCACCGCTGATGGTACAGACATTACAAACTGTGGTCGGTTCGATGCCTTCCAAACAGATCCTGCTGTCCACCAACCAACCAGTTTACACGCATTGCGTGCAGTCCCAGCAGCAGAGTACCATCTACTACAGTTCAGACAGCACGGATCGTGTCACGTCGTCGAACTTCACAAATTCAGTTTCTTCTCAAAAGCTAGTTACAGGT